CGTATCTTTATTGTTTGCAGTTGGAAACATGGCAACCGATGCATTGAAGCTTGCGCGTGATGCCGCAGCTAAAGTGAGGGCCAAGCAGGGCGTAGCGCCTCAGACTCAGACCATCCTTCCTTCAAAAAGGAAAAGCTTGGACAAGGGTAAAGCAATAGAGGTCCGCCCTAAAAAGAAGAAAGTTCGGTCTGCTGCTGATATCCCTGCTGGTGAACTTGAGAGACGGGCTAACCGCCCTATTATTATAGATCCCACTGGCGTGACGGGCAACTCTTCTGCAAGTGAATCAACACTTGGTTCTGGGTTACAAGGTGCGACAGCGAGCTTAACACCTCCAAGATCTTCCCAGGCGGGGCGCACTGAGCTTTCTGGGGGCGGTCTGACCCGGGATGGTGCTTCTGAAGGCGATGCGGCAATTAACAACCCTTCGGGCGATGGAGGAGGTGACCACCCTGTTGAGCCATCTGAGGCTGTAGGTTCACCTCCTCTTCCTGAAATTCTTGTGAGCAGGGCGCTCAGATTGTCATAGAGGGACCTTTTCAACGGCTTCCCCAACATCAGGCGTCCCAAGATGGTAATGCCTGCGCGTTTCGACCGTCAGCAATACATGGACTGCACACAAGTGATAATTGGCCGTCTCCTGGGCCAACAGGAAATTACCCTGGATTTTGAGGAACGATGCTCCCAACAAGAGGATCGTATTGTTGACTTGGGGCGGCAGGTGAATAGCTTGACCGCTGACGTAGGGCGCCTTGGCAACCGTTGGCTGGGGGTGAGGGCGAGGGTGAGTACCATCTCGCTTGTTGGGCGTTGGCTGGGGGTGAGGACCATCCCAGACCAACTATGGCGGGGGTGAGAACCGTCCCGCAGTTGGGCGTTGTCTGGGGGTGAGAACCATCCCAGACAAACTATGGTCCCGTAGTTGGGCGTTGGCTGGGGGTGAGAACCATCCCAGTCCAACTGTGGCGGGGGTGAGAACCGTCCCGTAGTTAGGCGTTGGCTGGGGGTGAGAACCATCCCAGTCCAACGGTGGCGGGGGTGAGAACCGTCCCGTAGTTAGGCGTTGGCTGGGGTGAGAACCATCACAGTCCAACGGTGGCGGGGGTGTGAACCGTCCCTTAGCTGGTCACATTTATTTGACAGTGTTAAATTGAACTGGCGATCTTTTATTGAAGCTCAAAACCCTGCCTCGTTAAAAACCTTTCCCAGCAAAACCCTATGGGATAAAAGCCTAGGAAAGGAAACGAGTGCAGGAGTTGTTACATGATAACTCAACTATAATACTTTTTGAGCTTATCGGCATTCCAAGCCCTCGGTAGCGCCTTTCCTTCTAGTGTTTCCAGGGAGTAGGCTCCATGACCTAGCTTGTTGATTACCCTGTAAGGTCCTTCCCATGTTGGAGCGAGCTTTCCTTCGCGAGCGTTTTTATTTCCAACGTCTGCTCTTCGAAGCACCAAATCTTTTTCTTGAAAACTCCGGGGGATGACCTTCTTATTGTAGTGAGTAGCTGATTTTTCTTTTGAATGGAGATCGGACTCAGCGGCAGACCTTCTGAGTTCGTCTAGCAGGTCCAGTGCTTCTTTCAAATTCTGGGTGTTGTCGATCTCGGTTACGTGCTCTCGCCGCCAGGACGGTTCACCGATTTCCACTGGGATCATGGCTTCAGTGCCGTAAGTCAGACTGAACGGAGTCTCTTTGGTGGATGACTGGGCGGTCGTTCTGTACCCCCATAGGACGCTGTCAAGATTGTCAATCCATGCCCCTTTGTGTGCTTCGAGCTTCTTTTTAATTCCTTTTCCCAGCATTTTGTTGGCTGATTCTACCAAACCGTTGGATTATGGGTGTTCTACGGCAGCAAAGTGGTGTCGTATGTGCAGGCTGCTCATTAATTCGCGGAACTTGGCATCGGTGAATTGAGTGCCGTTATCCGTGATAACTTCCCCGGGAATGCCAAAACGGTAAATGATGCTTCTCCAGAAGAACCTTCTTGCTTTTTGAGAGGTTATAGTCGCCAAGGGTTCTGCTTCTACCCACTTGGTAAAATAGTCGATAGCGACCATCAGCCATTGCACCCGCCCAGCTGCCATAGGGAAAGGACCCAGAATGTCGATGCCCCACTTGTAGAAGGGCCATGGTGAGGTGATTGATGTTAACTCTTCTGGCGGTGCTCTATGTATGTCGGCGAACCTCTGACATTTTTCGCACTTTTTGACGTGTTCATGGGCGTCACGTTCCATGGTTGGCCAATAAAATCCGACTCTCAACGCCTTCTTTGCTAGTGAGTGACCGCCCATGTGATGGCCGTTGATTCCTTCATGGATTTCTTCTAACACGTATGGAACATCAGTGGGATTCAAACATTTCAGGAGTGGGGTTGAAAGTCCACGCTTGTACAACCGCCCTTGTACTATGCAGAAGTGGGCGCTTCTACGAATTATCTTTCTAGCATCTTTCTGGTCGGGAGGCACGGCCCCTTCAGCTAAATAATTTGCAATGGGCGTGATCCAGGTTTCTTCAGTGGCTCCAGGGGCTGTCTCTGAGATACTCATGACTATGCACGGGTTTGGCATACTCTGCTGGACTATAGAACGGTTGTTGCCCGGGCTTTTAGTGCTTGCTAGCTTGGACAAAATGTCCGCCCGGGTATTTTCAGTACGTCGGATATATTCCACCTTGACACTTTCAAAACCTTCAATTAGCTCTCTGACTTTTTCTAAGTATTTGCACATCAGTGGTCCTTTGGCTTGGTACTCGCCGGAGATCTGAAATGTCACCAGCTGGGAGTCACTAAAGACTTTGAGGCGTTGGGCCCCCATTTCCTTTGCTTGGATCAGACCAGCTATCATGGCCTCATATTCCGCCTGGTTATTAGTGGTGTTGAAATCAAATGATAAAGAATGTTCGATAGCCACGCCATCTGGATTTTCTATTATCATCCCTGCACCGGAGCCTTTGGCGTTTGACGAGCCATCTACGTATAGTTTCCACACTTCTGATAACGGCGTTCCCATGGCTTGGTTCTTGGGCGGGGAAAGTTGCGTCATTTCTGCAATGAAGTCAGTGAGTGCTTGGGCTTTGATGGCAGTTCTAGGCTCATAGGTGATCTGATACTCGGACAGCTCGATCGCCCACGACATCATCCTTCCAGCCAAGTCAGGTTTGTGCAGGACTTGGCGAATTGGTTGGTTGGTCCTGACGGTGATTGGATGGCACTAGAAGTATGGTCTTAAACGCCGCGCGGCAAAGATAAGCGTTAAATCTACCTTTTCCACCTGTTGGTATCGAAGCTCTGCTCCTTGTAGAACCTTGCTGATGAAATAGACAGGCTTTTGTCCTTCCCTTGATTCTTTGACAAGGGCTGCACTGATCGCCTCGGTACCTACAGCAAGATACAAATACAACATTTCTCCATTGTCTGGTTTGGCGAGTACTGGTGGGCAAGAGAGCGCCCTTTTGAATTCCTGGAAGGCGTTCTCACATTCTTCTGACCACCGAAAGGAGGTTCCTTTTTTGAGTAGGCCAAAAAGAGGGAACGATTTGTGAGCCGAATTGGCCAAAAAACGAGTGAGAGCTACTAACCTTCCTGTCAGCTGCTGAACTTCCTTGATTGTTTGCGGGCTTCGCATTTCAATCACCGCCTTGCACTTATCAGGATTGACCTCAATGCCTCGCTCAGTGAGCATAAAGCCTAGGAATTTGCCCGCGGGAACTCCGAAGGCGCACTTGCTGGGATTCAAACACATGTTGAATTTTCTGAGTCTTTCAAATACTCCTTGTAGGTCAGTTAAATGTTGTTCCGACGTTCTTGATTTAGCGATCGTGTCATCGATGTATACTTCGATGCAATTGCCAATCAGGTCTCTGAATACTTCATTCATCATCCTTTGGTAAGTGGCCCCAGCATTCTTTAGACCGAAGGGCATCATTGTATAGCAGTAATTGGCGTTCTGAGTGATGAACGTCGTTTTGTCTTGGTCTTCTTCAAGAAGCGGAATCTGATTGTAACCTGAATATGCGTCCATGAATGACAGTATTTTGAATCCGGATGCGTTGTCGACCAACTGATCAATACTAGGAAAAGGGTAAGCATCTTTTGGACAGACTTTGTTTAGGTCGGTGTAGTCAACGCACATTCTCCATGCGCTGTTTGGCTTTTTAACCAATACTGGGTTGGATAACCAAGTTGTGTACTTGATTTCCCTGATGAACCCGGCGGCGTGGAGCCTTTTGACTTCTTCATCAATCACCCTCTGGCGGTCGGAACCGAATTTCCTCTTTTTCTGGGCGACTGACTTGGCTTTGGGATCCACCGACAAACGGTGGCAGCAAACGTCTAGATTGATACCCGGCATGTCGGAAGGCTTCCATGCGAACAAATCTTTGTTATCTTTGAGCAACTTGATTAACTTGCATTTCATTTCGGGGTCGATGGTGGCCCCGATGGTTGTTGTTTGATGATCCGCATCTCCTAATACAACATGTTCCAACGCCCCATCAGGCGTGGGTCTGTCATGTTCCACGCGCGGATCATCTCTGGCATCAAATTCTACCAAAAAACATTGGTCATGCTCCTTTGTCTCCACGCCTGGATTTCTTTCGGCGGGAGAGGCCGCCCTCTGTTTGGGTGCCCTTTCATCATTGAAACTAGCTTTGGCCATTGGCCGCAAGGATATGTTGTAGCAGCTTCGGGCTATCGTCTGGTCTCCTCGCACCGTGGCGACTTTATTGTCACGGGAAACGAACTTCATTGCCAAGTGGGGGTGTGAGATGCTTGCCTCGAAGGCGGCGAACATCCTTCTACCAAGAATGGCGTTGTAAGCTGATGGGGTGTCGAGCACCAAAAACTGGATGTCTGCGGATCGTGAGGTCGGCGTTCCAAGGGAAAGTCGCAAGGTAATCACTCCCAGTGGCTTTGTGGTGGTAGCGTTGAAACCTGAGAGTTCACCTGTAACAGAAGTTAAACTATCAACAGTAAATCCTAACGCTTTAAAGCATGGTAAAAACAAAATGTCGGCTGAGCTGCCGTGGTCAATAAAAACGCGATTAACGCCAAAGTTGGCGATTATAGCTTGAATGACAAGTGGATCGTCATGTCCAGGGAGGACATCGCCCAAATCGCTGCTGTCCCAAACAATTTAAGGTCTGGTTGGACCAGGGTTGTTCTTTGCTTTTTCCAATGACTTTGCTAGCGACCGCCAGACACTGCTTCAAATGTTTCTTTCTGGCGTTCGCCGTCTCTCCTCCTCCGCTCAGTCCGCCTGAAATCATGTTTATCACTCCGTGCTTCACCGCGGCTGAGTCTTCGTCCACTTCTTCACGCCTCCCTCTGCGGTTTGGACTTGCTCGCGCTCTGCGATTCCTGGGGGAATCCTCTCTCCTGTCCCGGTTGTAGGAGGGTCTAGAGCCAGATTGATTCGTTCTTCTTCTTTCAGGCGATTTGCTGCGCTCACGATATCGCCTTCCTGTTCCAGAGGGGCGTGTGCCGTCTCCTCCTCGCCTCTGCGCTCCGCCTTTGATGAGTTCATCAATTTCGTCTTTGAGGTGCCTACACTGCTCAGTGTTATGACCGTTGCTGCGATGGAACTTGCAGTACATGATGTTTTCTTTAGGCGGGTTCTGAGGCTGCTGGGTGCTCTTGGATTCTTCCTTATACTCCGTTTGTAGGACGGCATGTGTCTGACGGCCTGATGTGTCGCGCCCAGAAGGGCGGTTTGAATATTTGGCCGGTTTGTTTCCTTTCTTACTTTCTTCCATTTGGTTCTTCTGTTTACTGACTGCCTTTTCTTGACTGTGGGCGTCGTCATCTCGGCTTCCTTTGTACTCTTCGATTCGCATATACTCCTGGGCCACCTTCTTGACTTCTTCCAGGTCAGTGATCTCATGTCGGGCGAGCTCGTACGCGAACGCACCCTGTCGTAAGCCCGAAAGAAGTATATGTACCTGTACTTTGGGGTCCATGCCTTGCACCTGTAGGGCCTCCTTATCAAAGCGGTCTAAAAAGGACCTGAGGGACTCGCCCGGCTGCTGGCGTATTTTTTCTAGAGAGTGGACAGATTTTGGCACAGGGCGACTTGTGGCAAAGTGAGACTGAAACTTGCTTGCCAACTCGTCCCATGAAGCGATACTACCAATTGGTAGGGTTGTGTACCATGTTAAAGCTCGCCCCCCAAGTAGCGTGGGGAAAGTCCTGCACATGAGGAGGTCTGTTTCACCATGGAGAGTCATTGCTGCCTCAAATTTCTGGATCCATTCAAAAGGATCGGCATCTCCAACATATGTGGCGATATTGGACGGTCCTTTAAAACCAAGGGGTATGGGTGTTAACCGGAGGATATCAGTCAGGGGTTTGTTGCGCCCCGACGTATGGGTTGGCGTGACTCGTATATTGTTGTTTCGGGCGGGACGGTTTATTTGTGGTTGAGGGGCTTCAACAGAGTAGGAGAGGGTCGGGGCGTGATTGAAAGGCTGTTGGGCGACATACGGTTATTGACCCTGGTTTTGATAGGACACTTGGTGCAGCGGGATGGCCGGATTCTGCGGTTGGGCAGCGTAACCATGGAAAGGAAAACCAGTTGGGTAAAGTTGAGGGAAAGGGGGGTATGGTCCCATAGGGAACATGGTGACCATTGGTGCTCGGTAATCGTGGTGCATGGCTACTGGAAGACTTTGGGCTGGTTGTGGGCGATGGTCTCGTGGGACAGGAATGACTGGTGGGGCAATAGTGTGGAAAGGCATTCTAAAACGAACTCCTGGTGGCGGGGGTTGGTCTTGTACCAGGTTTTCCCTTGCATTTCACGCATAGGTGCGCGATAATTCAACTGTGCTATCCTGGGTTCGACTGCTTGCATTTGTGGACTGAAGGATTGTAATACAGGTTGGAGCATCTCGCCGGGGGGTCTCTCGGCTGGGGCTGAATGCATCGATGGCAGGGAATTTGAACGTACTGTTTGTACATGACCGTCAGGAGTGACGGCCCTGGTTTGTTCCGCTCTTCTGGTTGTGACAACCATGTTTGTTATCAAAACGTAACACACGTCTTGTGGATCTTTGGTAGGAGAATGAGACTAGAAGTTTATAGTTTTCCACAGACGGCGCCAATGTACCGTTCAGTTCTGTGAGCCCACTATGTACCCTTGAGGGTAATGTTATTATATGGATTACACCACTAGTAGAGGTAAAGACCAAGCTAGAAGGTATAGTTCCAAGAGGTAGCAAGTTGATATCAATGGCAGATAAATAACAAGAGTATGACTTCTAAGTAAATGGGCATAACAACAGTACATAAAAGATATCTGGTGATGTGTCCCCTAAGGGCTATTTATAAGGAAGATGATGCGGGTTGGTGAGGTGGGGGTCAACCCTTCTTGGGGTGCACACCCATGATGGCAGTGTTAGGCGTGGTTGGCGCTGCCACAATGGCAGTGTTGCAACCACTGCACTCGGCGGTGTCAGCGCTGAACAAAGAGGCAGGTTCCTTTGCAGTGCTTATGGCGACTGCCTTTAGTGGTTAATGTCCCGAAGTGAGATATTTTGGTGTATCTCTTGGACGTGCTGCAGTCTTGGAGATCGCAAGGGCCTACGTCAGCCCTTAGGGCTGACGCGGAACAAGGCTGGGGGTTGGGCTTGAGTAACTGGGCCAGCTGAGGGTTGGGCCTGAGTAATTGGGCTAATCTAGTACTTGGGCCATCCAGAACAAAGACCAACCCAAGGACTGAATATAATAATAATGGCAACTTTGCCACATTTAGAAGCCAAAGACCAATAAGTGAGGCCAAATCCATAAGCATTGCAAAAGGGCCAGGACTGGAGCAATAGGGCAAGCCACAATGTGATACCATTTCAGTTGAGGAAAGATATGGGACACAATTATGATGGAAACAACTACATAGCCAGTGAAAGCAACCCAAATGGGAATCTGATCTTTCAAGAAACACTCCGTACGAAGCTCATTGTCATAATCCACATTTGAGTTTTGATCAATATCTTCAGCGTTTAGAGAGTAACAAGTAATAGCACGTAGATGTGATAAGAACCAATTTAAACTCAAAATCTTAAAGCATTAGGTAAAATTTAATTAATTATTTTTATATCTTTTGTATCTCTTTAACAAGATGCAATGGTAAAGACGATCACCAAG